TTGTGAGTATATTAGTCTTCTTCACTTTTCCGGTTAAAATTTTTACACATTTTTTAATTTATCTTTCTGATGACGAGAAAAGTCATCCTGTATATTAGTTCAATAGTTGGACACATTGACCGAAGTAGTGCTTTGAGTGCAACCTCCATTCCAGGTTTGAGGCGAAAATCTCAAAAGCTGCTAAAGTTAGAGTGGAAAACGAAACGGGATCACCCTGTATCAGGAAAACGATGCGTTTTTGGACAAATGTTTATATACACTTTTTTACTGGTTTTTCTGAGTATAATCGTCTTCTTCGCGTTTCCGGTTAAAACTTTTATATATTGATTAATTTATAAACACCATGTTGGACAAGGTTCACCGAAATTTAAAAAATCTGTTGCATTTACTAATCCAAATTATACCGTATAACAAAGACATATTACGCCCGCGCAATATACGAACCATGCGGCAAACTGAGCCTGCGCCCCATAGAACGGAAATCAAACCGCCGCCTTACAACAGGAAACAATGGAATAGAATAGCCGCATAAAAAAGGATATGTTCCAGATAAACAATTGCTATAGAAAATGTTTTGAGCACATTGTTTAAAGCTCAATTACGGTAGATCTCTAGTATTGCACAACTTAGTAAATGCCATTACATATTTTGAAATATTGCTTTAATGTGTGTGTGTGTGTGTGTGTGTGGTGTTTTGGGCTGGCACGCACCAGTGTCGTGCATTGAGGCATTGACAGTTCAAAAAGTACTCTGCGAATGTCCAGTGGCCAGTCGATAAGCCTTCGACCCTCTAAATTGACGTCTTGAAAACGAAAGTGTGCCGCTGACTGAGCTCTGGACTGGGGGGGCGGAGCCGAGCGAATCTGTTACAGCCAGCGTGGTCAGATTGTGTGCCCGCCCCCATTCCGCAGCTGAGCCAGCGACGTACGACTACCTAGAAGTCTCCTAAGCCTAAATAAATAAAAAAGCAACGGCTTACGTGATCACAGCAGCCACTGGAATCCGGCAAAGGCGACCTGTCATCTCTAGACACTAGTGCGTGGAGTGTCGTCATTGCATGCTCATTTGCTTATGTATCGTATCCGATTTATAAAACAGCGGCCGATCATTCGAACTTGTCACCAGGGCCATGTCCGGTGAACCGAAATTATTTTCCGACTTCGGTCTCGGCAACATTGTCCTTTTCTTCGTTCCTTCGAAGCACCGCGTTTCACTTACGTGTAATTTGGCAACGGATTCTTGGGACAGGTTCACGTGCTCAGCTTCAGCGGCCAGCGCATTTACCACCGCGTTGATCGTCTTACTTTCGCTGCCCATGTCCTCCTCCCGATGCGACAGAAGGTTCGGGTTCTTACCGATCTTGTTTAGCCTGCAACAAACACCAGCATACAAGCAGAAGCTTGAATCCGTCACATTTCGCATACAGGGAAGTGGCGGGGCAAATCAGTAAGTTACAGSCTGGCTGGTCTTTGCTGTATCTGCCATAGCTTAAGGGTCCAGRAAGACATGCAACGCKCGAAGAAAAAGGAGAATGGAAGAAACATATCRTTGGAGTTCCTTCGGCCATACGTRTATAAYAGAAGGAAAAATTAAAGAAAAGAACAATGAGWCAGGGAASACCTCAGATTTGCAGACGATACAACGTTGATAGRAGMATCAGAYGAGGAAATGTGGGGCGSAATTTCRRAAAGCCCAGTTCAGACAGGTCAAGATCAATTGAGCTTGAAAATCCGCTCTTGTATGATTGTCTGTTATYATACTAWTTTCSTTCCTGGCTTTCAGTCAAAGTGTGAACTAAAAATGTTTATATCGTTTTGTATGAATTTTAAATCCGATCATGGCGCTATTATCTCGACGAAACGTTCCAAAATAAACGATATAAAAATTTGTATTTCACACTTTGACTGAAACCCAGAAAGCAAAAGAATATAAGTGGCCGGGTAAATAAGTAATTTACAGGCTGGCTGTTCTTTGCTGTCTCTGCCATAGCATAAGGGTTCAGGAAAAGACATGCAACGCGCTAAGAAAAAGGAGAATGGAAGAAACATATCATTGGGGTTCCTTCGGCCATACGTATATGACAGAAGGAAAAATTAAAGAAAAGAACAATGAGACAGGGAACACCTCAGATTTGCAGACGATACAACGTTGATAGGAGCATCAGACGAGGAAATGTGGGGCGAAATTTCGAAAAGCCCAGTTCAGCCAGGTCAAGATCAATTGAGCTTGAAAGTCCGCTCTTGTATGATTGTCTGTTATTATACTATTTTTCTTCCTGGGTTTCAGTCAAAGTGTGAAATAAAAATGTTTATATCGTTTTGTATGAATTTGGAATTCGATGATGGCGCTGTTGTCTCGCCGAAACGTTCCAAAATAAACGATATGAAAATTTGTATTTCACACTTTGACTGAAACCCAGGAAGAAAACGAATATAATAACAATTACACGCAGTCAGGAAAATRAAWCAAAATTGTCTGTTRTAATTGAGCTGAATTCATWCGTTTACTAGATGTTGGTGACTGAAAATTGCTGTCGGACACACTCGCTGAAGCTATGGCAGATACCATAGATGTCCAAGGAACACCCTGTATATTATTTCAATTAAACATTTTTTGTCGAAATCAACTTAATAACAAGCGGTAAATGAACTGTAACTGTTTACTCCTTAATGGGATTTCTGTCAGCTTTGCTAGGCATGACCTCCATAACGCTACTGTAAAATAACGAACTATTACTTCACATGGTGTAACATTTGCCGTTGAGGTTCACTAATTTACTTGCCAATATTGGACTAACTCTTCCTGCATTGAAAAATTTGAAATCGCCCCTCAGTCAGGAAACTCCACAGGGTTAAAATCGGGCGCTGTTGCTGGCCTGGGATTTCCAAACAATAATAGAAAGTCGAGTTTGCATAAATATACTTTCACTTCCTTCCTGCTTTTGTTAAATTCCTTAACATTTACCTGTAGCACTTTTAACGGTTGTGAACAACTGAAGAAAAAGTTTGGATCATTCTGATCTTAGAAAGTTTTGAGATAAAGAACCTAATCATTTGGCGCCATGCTGCTGTTATTCTTGCTGGCATTAAACCGATTCCTGGTGCAAATCCATTTGCAGCAAACAACGGCAGTCCATTTCCCGTTTGTTATTAAATCGAGTACAAATTTGTTGTTATGTTAAAACGAACTTCCACCAAAAAGTCCCATCTAGAACTGTTCGATTGGAGTGTCTGTTCCAAAAAACGCATTCATTATAACAGCTTAAAATACTCGAAAAAAACCAGGGGAAACGTGCACGTGCATATCAACAGTAAACAACGCAAAGTGTTGAAGTTTTATACGTGGCTTGTTTGAACCAGTTGTTCAGTGTCTTTGAAGCAATCGTGTGTGTTGTGTGAATGAGTGGTTTAATTGAACTACTTGTACGGTCAACAGCTGTGTGGATTTCCATTTTAGTGTTCGTCGAAAATTGATTGAGAACCAGGCTGTGTGTGGATGCCACTTTTGCGGTTTAAATGTCGAACATTTTATACAGGGTTATTCACACACAGAAAAATGTGACCAAAAGGGTACAAAAAAATTATAGAAAATCACCCAGAAACCCTACATGGACTTACTTTGTGCAAATAACTCGAAAACGAAGACAGATTCGAAAAAACTGCAAGAGGTCAGAAAATTCTTAAATTGAACAACAAATGCAAAAATGAGCCCGGTCGAGGTCAGTGGCCCACCAAAAAAGTTCGGGGGGGTAAAAGGGCGTTTGCTTCTAGAAAAAAGAACACCCAGTAGATTTTTACAATCAGTCGCCTTGCCTACGGG